AACTGTGGATTCCTCCTTGCACCACGTCGCCTTCTAACCCTGGCACGACAATCGTGCATGCCTAAACAAAATCGAGACTCGTCACTAAAGACAATACTGTTCCATTCCTGATCCCAGAGTGACCGTTGTCTGCACCACTCAAGGCGATTACGACGGTGTTCTCGAGTTAAAGGGAGGACCCAGTGTGGCCGGTATGAAAACAAGCCAAAACTTCTCATTCGTCGGTAAACACTTCGCTTGCCAATAAGTCTTCCGTGTTCTGCAAACCATTCATTTGCAATGGACCTGGTCCCTTAAGGCCAATAATCTTAGGCGGCGATCTCCACGGTCTGTTGTACTACGGCGGCGTCCAGTGCCCTTTGCTCTTTGCGTACGGCCTTCTCGAAGCCATGCCTGACAACACCTAACCACAGTGTCTACACTTCTTTGCACTCTAACTGCAATTGCCCGAAAAGAAAGTCCAGCTTCCCGAAGTCCCACTATACGGCCCCTATCAAACTCACTAAGTTGACGAAATCGTACAGGTCTCCGTACTCTAGGCATCGTAACCGATCGTAAAAGATGTCAAGAACCAAAATCCGCCAACGTTGATTCTTTACTGCGGCTGAAATATTCATTTTTAGAACGTTAGTGAATAAATCCATCAAGTCTACATTTGTATATTGTTTCGTTAGCCAAGTTTTTTTTTTTTTTTTATACTCCAACTACCACGAAGGCCTAAGGCCTAAGCACCCATTGGTGCACGCAGCATGTACTGATTCACTGATTTTTATTCCACATTTATTTTAATACAACAAGATACATTAGTGAATGTAATCAAAATATACAACATACAATAAAAAATAATTCATGTATAAATGCTGACGACATCAGGGCTATATTTCCATTTGACGAATCGATGTTTGTTGACGATATCTGTTAGAATCGATACTATATACGGTGAATAAATCATATAATTCGTTCGTCCATCTAAATTATTTACGTAGACAGGTGACCCGAATGTAATCAATCGGTTTAATTATTAACTCAACACGCGTGGTGCATTTGGATGATATGGATGCAGCCAGTCGGTCAATGACCAGACGAAACATGGCAGTACATAAAGTCATGCTGATGAACCTGAAAACTCCACTGGTACAATAAAGCTCATTCTGTGTTGAAAAATTATCCATTAGACTTTCTTTGCTGTGAATTCCCGTAGCTACATGGTGACCTTAGAATTTCACCGTTGGGGATTTCTGAAAAAGTTGGAGTACTGTTTCGTTGTTCAAGAAAGTTTAAAGCTCTCAGGAAAAAATGTAGGAAATGTTGTTAACGCTTAAGATAGACGACCCCTCACAAGGGCAATGGAAGAACTGCTGATTCTCTGCTGAAACTATGATTTGTGGATGAGGCTTCGATAATTGTGGGTATCAACAGACTGAATGCTTGCAAGATACTGCTGGGTGTTGCATTTGTTCGGGAACCGCGATATATTTAAGTATGCAGCAATAATGGAAATCTCAAACCAGGAAGGCTTGTTGTTTTAGTATGGGTAGTCTTGGAGGAAATATTATGTCCCCAAGGCAATGTGTAATCTGATAAGATACAAGAAAACCTAAATGAAATCCGAAGGTGTCCAAAGAAGTCTGAAAAAATGCAAGGGAATCCGTAGAGGTCCGAGGCAATATTTCTATCTGCGTATGCGACTGGCTCATCGATGCTGATTCTACTCGTTTTTAAACAGACCTTCCAATTTCATCCGATCTAAATTTTCACGAAGCGCAAGTACCTCTAAGTATATTTACAGTAATATCATTGGAAAAAATCGCCTCTCAATGTAAAGTCTAAAAGGTATCATGTCGTTGTCTCGCTGACGAATATCCATGCTTCACTGGTTGTCAAATAAGACTACCTAAGAGACAGATGAATAAAACATGACAATATTGTCCTATCCAACTCTGAAGTACTTTGAAAATGTCCGAAAAGTATATTCTCATTTTGCAGATTTGCGTGCAACATGAATTTTTAATTTTTTAGGCGAACGCTTGACGGATATATACATATACAGGGTGTCCGAAAAGTTGGGGTTTTCCTTTACACGACGTGTAGATCTTGAAAACATAAGCAATTTTTCTTAGTACCATATATAGTACACCAATGTCTTGAGGGAACCGAGATAAAGGGCTCTGCTACATCAAAAATATCTGAATACCGTCCTGTAGCTGCGACATCCCCGAGTGGTACTAGGATACTAGCTCAACCCGACGACAGAACTGGGTCGGGGTCTGTGTGTCAGGTCAGTATGCAACCTTCAACCGACGGTTACGGTCGTCAAGAGTGCGGTTTTGTGAGTGGTTGTTGCATCAACATGACAATAATCCGGACTTTTTGAAGTGCATATTGGTGGCAGACGAATCTACGTTCACGCGTAATGGGGTGAATAACTTTCGCAACACTCATGTTTGGTCAGTAGAAAATCCGCACGCTGTCCGTCGGGCACATTTTCAATAAACATATTCGGTGAATGTTTGGGCTGGCATGGTGAACGGTATGCCGATTGGACCATTTATTCTCCCAAATCGATTGGACGGGATGCAATACCTAGACTTTTTACGCAACATTTTGCCTTCCTTGTTAGAAGATGTGCCATTAAGTGTAAGACAATCAATCTGGTTTTTGCGTCTGCTCGTTAGCGCAACAGCTGATTTCATTTTCTGTTGGAGCGGTATGATTTCGGGCATAGACGTACTTAGCCCTTCTCGTCAACTGGAGAGAGAGTACTTTTTCCTTTATTTTTTTTACTTGGTCGCCCTCGTTTCACTACACATTTCCTTTGTTATTTCAAGGGTAGTTGTTTCTGAAAAGGAAAACACCAACTTTGCGGACACCCTGTATACAGCTATAAATCAGGCCTTTAGGCCCTAAGTTTTTTAAGTTTGTTCCACCTCTCCTTGTATAATGTTCGTTTCTTCCAGTCTCTGATCTGCCTGCTCCTCAAATCTTTCATAACCGCATCCTTCCATCTTCCTCTTGGTCTCCCTCTTTTCTTCTTGGTATCCGGAACTCTCCATGCTGTATGCTTCACTGTTCTTTCGTGCGGCATTCTTTCCAGGTGCCCCAGCCACTACAATCTTCTGGTCCTAGCTACTTCTATTATGTTTGGCTCATTAGATTTCAGCATTAGACCTCCGAACATACCCTCCCTCCACCTTGATCCCTCCATATATTCTCTTTAAAATTTTCCTCTCCCACCTAAGTAATGTTTGTTATTAATTACCCAGGTTTCTACTCCATACAAAAGTGTTGGCTTGATGATCGTATTGTATAGCCTTATTTTGGAGACTCTAGATGCAGAGAATTTTTTTGGTTTTGTAATCGAGAATTTGTTTGTTCAAGTATAATTTCCAAAGCACTAAAAACTACTTTTTCTAACATTGTTCACAGGAGGAATACAATTCAGACAGTCATCAAGGGATACGCCTAGATTTTTCCCAGTGCCACTTACTTTTATAATTTCACTATTCAATGATATATATAGTTGAATATTGCTTAATTTGATTTTTAAGTTTTTTAGGAAAGAATAAATTACTTTTGCTTTTTCTGGATTTAATCTGCATACTTGTCGATATATCTCAAATCTTCATCAATATGACTCCCACCAGTTTGTCAGCAAAGACTGAATATTGCAGTGTTTAACAACCTTATCAAAGTCGGAAATATTTAACATAAAAAGTGGTCCAAAAGCCTACCATTGAGGCTCTCCCGATGACATTAAAGCCTCAGGGCAACGTTTCTTATCGATGGCAACGTTTTGTGAAGTGAATTGTGAATAGTGTCTAACACTAGTAAAATCTAAAAGAATTAAGATAGTTGTTTGATGGTTATCCCCACCACTGATAATATTGTCAGTTAGATCTAACAATGCTCCAGCAATATTATATCCCTTCGTAAAACCGCATTGTCTAGACCAATGATTACCAAAGTGGTCTATATCGACCCCTAGGGGTCTATGACAACCTGCAAGGGGTCTACGTCAGCGAAAAACAATTTGGGGGTCCATGAAATGAATATGGGGGTCCACGATAGTGGATCTCAACACATACACTGATAGTACCTATTTACTTACATCATACTATCTTGTAATATCAAAACATATACATTATTTATAAAAGTACCTATGAAGTAAAAAATTTATTATATATGTTTATAAAATTGAGTAAGTTGTAGGATGTTGGTATTCGCTTTGTGTCGCAATACATTTTGAACTTGTAAAAACCTGAGTGTCGCAGTCTCAGAGCTTCGCTACCTTGTACTGACTTGTTCAATTCGTCACTCTATAAATACGAATGTGGGACAAATACGTTTATTCGTTTCCTGAATCTTGAAAAGGAAAGTGCTAAGAAAATATTTTAAAAAATATAAACAGATAGTATATCACACAAATTATAGTGAGTTAGTGTTATTTTGTTTGAGAGTGCTGGAGAAAAGTAAGTACATTATTTTTTATTAAATTTTAATTTTGTACTCGTAGTTAGCAAAGATAGATAAATTACGCCAATCATGACTTTAGTTATTAGTAGTTAAATATTCAATCATGCAAAATTACACGAGTACTCCTCAATAGTTTCTTTTTTAAAGTTATAGCAATCGGTAATTCGAGCTAATTGTTGCAAGAAGATGTTCGAATTATGGCATGTTTTCGGAAAAATTAAAAAATATTTTTAATATACAGCTGCTGGATTTTCTGTCTTATTTAAATAATTTAATTTTGCCCACAGATGACTGATGCCATGTCCGAATCTAAAAAGAAATGTAGACAGTACAGTGTTGATTATTTGAAATCTGTCTTCATTCCATCATTGCCGAACAAACAATCGCCTATGTGCCTTTTATGCAACAAAGTTTTGGGCAATGATGCTATGAAACCATCTAAACTGCAAGATCATCTGAGAAGATGCCACCCTGATAAAACAGAGAAAGATTTGAAATACTTTCAAACACTCAAAGATAAATTTCAGAAGAGACCTACACTGGACAGAATGTTCGCTTCGACGTCACAAAGAAATGATGATAGTTTGCGGGCGTCTTACAATATCTCGTTACTTATAGCAAAATCCGGAAAACCGCATACTATCGGAAAGAAGTTAATTTTGCCAGCCGTTAAAGAGGTTTTAAAAACGGTTTTACACAAACCAGCATCTGATATCATTAAAAGAATTCTCTTAAGCAACAATACTGTTGAAAGACGTATTGATGAAATGCGTTCTGATATTGAAAGCTTCTTATGTAATTATTTGCAAACGACCCATTTCTCTATACAACTGGACGAGTCAACTTTACCTGATAGTGCAGCATTATTATTGGCATATGTTCGTTTTATTATGAATCAAGAAATCTACGAAGAACTGCTCTTCGCAAGAACTTTGATAACCGACACTAAAGGTGAACCAATATTTCATGTTTTGAAGGATTACTTCAATGAAAAAGCAATTCCTTTATCAAATATAATATCAGTAGCTACAGATGCAGCACCTGCCATGGTTGGACGTTATCGTGGATTTATAAGCTATTTAAAACAAAATGTGTCAGGGGTGTTAGCGATACATTGCTTGATCCATCCGCAACATTTAGTTGCTAAAAATTTGAGTGTTAGATTGCATGAATCACTTCATTTAGTCATTGATGCAGTAAACCGAATCCGAAGCAACGCGTTGAATACGCGGTTATTTGCGCAGTTGTGTGAAGAAAATGACGAACACTTTCATCAATTACTCCTTCACACTGAAGTACGCTGGCTGTCGAAAGGCTTATGTTTGACAAGATTTTTTGCACTTTTTGAGACTATTTTAGAATTTCTGAATACTAAAGATAAAATTTTAAAAGAAAATTTAATGAAGAGGAAAACAGACATCGCCTATTTAACAGATTTGTTTACAAAATTTAATATGGTTAATTTGCAATTACAAGGCGACAGTTTAAATTTGATTAAAACGAAGTCCATCTTATCAGCATTTCTTTCCAGAGTTAAACTAATGAAGCAAAATATTGGACGGGGCGAATTTTCTCAGTTTCCCAATTTGTCACAGACAAGCTGCCAGGAAGACGACGTTTCAACTTACGTTCAACATTTAAATGCCCTCTGTTCAGATTTTGAATCTAGGTTTGAGGATATTTTGACTATGGTAATACCATCGTCGATAATTAATCCATATGGTGACATAGAAGAAAAGATTGTCATAATACAAGAGGAACTGACTGAACTAAGTACAAACGAAGAACTTAAGGTTCAGTTTAAAAACGGATATCAGCAATTCTGGCTGCAAACGACATACCCGTTACTTATCCCGTATTATGGAATATAGCGAGGAAATTTTTAATTTCCTTTCCATCGTCATACCTAGTGGAAAGGGGGTTCAGCGCTGTTACCAATCCCCTAACGAAAAAAGAAATAGACTGGACATCGTTAGCCGAGGAGATTTAAGATTAACCCTTACAAAATTGACGCCAAATGTTGATAATTTATTATTAAAGCATCAGGTTCATCCTTCTCACTAAAAATATTGACTTATTGCTTGAGTTATTTTGTTTATAGTTTATTTTATGTATATTGGTGCCTGACCAATAAATGCCCGCATTGGAAATAAGTGCCCGCATTCATTTTTTTAAAGAACCCCCTTTATAGAAAATATTTTTTTTTAAATTATTCTGAAAATTCAAGGATAGGTATACACTAAAATTCGTTAATTTTTTGCCTATTTTTAGATAACTTAATCGTATAAGAAGCGGAATTTAATCAAACTAACAGTGAAATTATTGTAGAACATACGTTTATGTTATAATTAATAAACGAACTGGCTTATTGTACTATTTTAAGTAAAAAACTTTTTTTATTATTTTTCACTTTTTTTTACTTTATCCCTCTTATTTTTTTTCAATGCGGGCACTTATTGGTCAGACACCTGTTTATTTAATGTTACGTATATTTTACAAAATTTTACAAAATTTTATTTTGAGTAGTTTTAATTTAAATTCAATTAATAAATGTATAAATTAACATGTGTTTTACAGGAAATCAATATCAGGTAAGTAGGGGGTCTACCCAACACGGAAAAACATGGCAAGGGGTCTACGACACAAAAAAGTTTGGGGAACTCTGGTCTAGACGGTAGTATACCCTCGTTTTTATTTGTGTATACATTTCCTATTCCAATAATTTGTAAAATGTAGGGAAAAGTCTAATCATTTCACGTTAGAAAATCGGTTGTTGGATAAAACCATTGCTGAGGAGCATACCTTTTTCAATTTTATTGTCAGGTGTGTACACGACTAGACTTCCGCCATCTTCTCTCCTCCACACGATCCGTGGATGGGGATGCCCAGTTGCTTTACAGGTAAGCGTCACATTTTCTCCTTCAGCGATTGTAATGTCGCCACTTGTCTCTGAGTCATCAATGTCAGGAGGTACTGCAACAAAAAATAGAGATGCTGAATCACTATACGAATTAAAACATTATCAGTAAAAATTACGTTTCATGTATAATAAAATTTGCATGGTTTTCGTTGTGCCTGTACAGATGTTTTCCCATGCTATCTAGAATGACGGTCTAATATAGAAAAAAAGGCCGCACTGTGTTCTAAAATCAGGATGAGCCTGTAACAATGCAAGTCTGCTGCATATATTACTTGTTCCAAAGTACATATTGGACACTATGGAGTTAAACTTGTTTCTTCAGTAAATTAAATTTCATCCAGTTGACCCATAAAAAAATAATAACATTATAATTCCACTGAATCGAAATCATAACGTCCCGTAACCAACTTTTCAGTCGCTCTATCTGAAACACACACACACACACAAACCAATTACACAGCGACCATCTCAATTAATATGCTCCAATTCTCTCATACCTACCTAATCTAAAATTAAACACGCAAACAAAACTAGTGATTGCATTGCAGAGCCGCTACACCATTCTGAATTACAATAATTCCAGGGGATTTCAGTTGTTCATGAGAAAATTTGTACTTTAGTTATGACAGTATGAAGAGTCTTGTTTAGTAGCTCCATTGTACCTAGCATATACACCAACCTGGATCACATGTCATGGAATCACATAAGCATATGATATATTATATACGAGGCTAAGGCGAAAAGTTCTCGACCCGAAAATGAAAGTGCTATTTTCAGTTAAAAGCTAGTTTATTCTCCAATATGGTTGCTTAAGATATCAACACTTTGATACATGTTCCTCGTTTCCTTCTTGGACATGAAGTCTAAGGCCCGTATCGTCAGTCGACCCTACAATTGTAGGGCGCGTTTATGGCCTCCTTGATTGTCATACTCCTTTCTCTCCTTCAAAAATTTCTAGATTACACTTGTCCCGTGTCAGCGTCAGCGCTCTCCTATTGTGAAGATTTGTTTTCTTTTTGAATTGTAGGAAATTTCAGGCTGATAAACATGATACCTATAACTCAAAAGCAAGCACAATTTGATGCAAATAGATGTTTGTGACACAACCTTAAAATAGAGCGCTACCACGGGAAAGTAGAAAACTATGACAATCACGGAGGCCATAAAGGCGCCCTACAATTGTAGGGACGACTGACGATACGGGCGTAAAAAGCTGTCAAAATGTACACCCACGACCCTCTCAACTTACTCATCGGAATCGAAGCTCTATACAGAAGTAAATTTGTCCAAAGTTGCGAACATACGTAGTTCTGGAAGGCCCAAATCAGGATGAAAGGCGAAACTGACGAGCAAATCATATCTTGAATTCTCCAGTTTTTCCATTCTTAACTCACCTTTGCAAGCAAGCCAAAATAATTATTTTATTCCCAAAGCCTTCCCTCCTGAATCTTGGTATACAGTTGATCAAGGAATTTGATGTAGTCTTCGTCAGTAATTGTTCTCCCTCTTCAAGGTAATCAATTGATAGGATCCCCTTCGAGTCTCAAAACACAATGACCACAACCTTTCAGGCAAACGTAATTGACTCCTCTTTCTGTGGCGCTGAACCTCAGGCTTCCACCCTCCGCTTTTTTATTACTGACTGGTTGTGGTGAAGCGGTCTTCATCTTCATAAATCGTTACATACAATACACACGAATTGTCCAACACAATATCGTGAAGCTTCTCGGTGGTTTCAGGTGTGGTTGCTGTGTTTTCATGTGTCTCATCTCCAAGGGACATGCGACGTTTAAGTTAGGCTGTTCATTTTTGAGAGATGTCGAAATCGAAGGAAGACTTCTGGTTACCTTGAAAGAATTTCACTAGGGGATTACCCATCCAACAGGGGCTTAGTTAAAAATACACCAGGCAGACCAATTAGGTGACATAGCAAATTGAAACTTATACCAATAAATGTACATTCATGCACGAATTATGAGTTTTTGCTCGTTCCTCTTTCCTGTCCGATCAATCTGATCCACAGCTCTGCTGATGACAATCACTCTACATGCAGGAATTCTTAGCGTCGAGCCGATCTCTACCGATGAGCTAGCCGTCAAAATCAACGTGACCTTGAATTGACCTTGTAAAGGTCACAAAGACAATTAATCAACTGTAACTTCCGTGCCCTTGCCCCAAACTTAACCTTGTAAGGATAATGGTCAAAATCAGCAATAAAAGAACCGTTCAGCCATAAAAGCTCTCTATTGTTGTTGCCTGAACACCAAAATGCTGGCTTAATGTTCTGTGGAATGCAAATTCGATGGTTTCAGGTGTGGTTGCTGTTTTTTCATGTGTCTCATCTCCATGGGACATGCGACGTTTAAATTAGGCTGTTCACTTTTGAGAGTTGTTAAAATCGAAGGAAGACTTCTGGTTACCTTGAAAGAATTTCACTAGGGGATTACCCATCCAACAGGAGCTTAGTTAAAAATACACCAGATAAACCAGTTAGGTGACATAGCAAATTGAAACTTATACCAATAAATGTACATTCATGCAAGAATTATGAGTTTGTGCTCGTTCCTCTTTCCTGTCCGAGCAATCTGATCTACAGCTCTGCTGATGACAATCACTATACAAGCAGGAATTCAGAGAGTCAAGCCGATCTCTGCCGATGAGCTAGCCGTCAAAATCAACGTGACCTTGAATTAACCTTGTAAAAGTCATAAAGATAATTAAGCAACTGCAACTTCCGTGCCCTTGCCCCAAACTTAACCTTGTAAGGATCGTGGTCAAAATCAGCATGACCCCTACTGACACTCCTCCCTTTTAAGGTTTTGAAATGTAATACGTTCTTCAGTATAACGACTCTCCGAGTATTTCCCAACTAGCAAACTAGTGCTATAAGCTTTTGGTAAAAGAACCGTTCAGCCATAAAAGCTCTCTATTGTTGTTGCCTGAACACCGAAATGCTGGCTTAATGTTGTGTGGAATGCAAATTTGCTTTCTGCAACATATCAGATGCATTGTTGCTATTTTTCAGATCTTATTTATGTCATAGGAAACAATATGTTATGTGCAATGGACATAAGTCAAGCGAATACCCTGTAATGTCCGGTGTTCCTCAAGGATCCAATTTGGGACCTCTGTTATTTATTATGTTCATAAATGATATTTCTGAAGTTATCGATGTCTATTTTCTTATATATGCTGACGATATGAAACTTTTCTGTAGAGTCTCTAACATTGACGATTGCCATCGCTTGCAATGCAACATTGTAAGGGTTGACAACTGGTGTCGTGAAAGCAGACTTGTTTTGAATGCTGCTAAGTGTCACGTTTTGTCGTTTACTTTAAAAACAGGGGTAATGATGTATGAATATAGTATTGGTGACAGGAAACTTGACAGACCTGGTACAATTAATGACTTGGGAGTCACATTTGACAGAAAACTTTCCTTCTCCTATCACATTGAAAATGCTGTTGTGGCTGCATCAAAGGCGTATGGTTTTATTGTAAGAATACCGGTGATTTCCACAACTCCGTTACACTGAAAATACTGTACTATGCTTATGTAAGATCTAAGCTATATTGACCGCTTAGAGTCCGTTCAAAGAAAGTTTTTAAAATACCTCTCATACAAAGCTGACGGGATATATCCCGCTATTGGCTTTCCTCATAGTGAGTTGATGGCGAGACACAAAATCTATAATTTAGACAGCTGACGCAAAATGAATTCACTTAAGTTCATTCACAAGCTCATCCACGGCATTATTGACTCCAGTGTCATCTTAGAACAGCTTAACTTCTTAAATCCTGGATTAGCGTCACGAACTAGTTTAACTTTTTACTTAGCCAGGCCTAGGACTGACATACTTAAGTTTTCCCCTATATATAATGTGCCGTAATTATAATTCAGTTAATAGCGTTTTAGATATATTTTCGTTTTGTGCGACTTTGGGAGACATTAATGCTTATTTTCGTTAATGCTTGCCGGTGTAATTGTTGAGTGCTGGGTAGGTAAAGCTAGAACGCTTTTTTTTCCTCAAAGTTCTGTTTTGAGGTTTTTTTTGCAGCGTTTTAGTTTTCTCTACATACATCCACAACATGCATTTGTTTATATTTTCATGTTTATCCATCCTGTAATTGACTATGGCTGTTGGATGTTGCTAAATAAATAAAATAAATAAATAAATAAATCTGCTCAAAAATGAGGTGTTTAAAATATTCTTTAGCATAGTTATACAACACCTTATAGGACAAATTTTTAACTGATGCATAAACGTTTATACAACTATTTTATACGGCATATTTGCACGTTAGTCAAAATGGTTGTGTTGTGGCATCCATGGTAACGTTTATAAAACAAACCCGAGCCTTGTTGTTTTGCTGTGCATTTTACTACTTAAGCCAACAAGTTGCTCCCAACGGAAGCACTTATACAACTGCTGTTTAGTAACTGTTAAAGGCTGTACATATGCTAAATATGTTGGTATACAACTTCATCGTAACCTAACTTTCTGCTGCCATATTTTTGTAAAAATGCCATAACCAATGATTTAAGACAAACAACGCATGCATATTGGTTCAAAAGGTTTTATCAACTGTTCAAACAGAAGATATAGATCTGGTACAAATTCTGGGTAAATCATTCGACTCTGTCGGTATTTCATTTCAGACATCTGTCAAATTGGTGTATAACACCTGCAGGCAACACCAAACTATTCTAATAAACTGAAGACAACATGGACGATGCCTTGATTATGCACAACCACCAGCCATATTGGGCATACATTTATTCCTCGATTTAATATTAAATAACTATGTTTTAGTTCGAAATTATAGATATAAAGTGATAAACATTAGTGTAATTGTGTCTAAATACAGGATTTGTGGAAGATTTGACGCAGATAAGTTCAGTTTTCCATCTTAAAAATCTAGACATACTTTTGATCATTATCAAAATATGCGTCAAATAAGAAGCCCGTAGAAATTGCG